GCTGAACTAGAACTGAACTAGAACTGAACTAGAACTGAACTAGAACTGAACTAGAACTGAACTAGAACTGAACTAGAACTGAACTAGAACTGAACTAGAACTGAACTAGAACTGAACTAAACTGAACTAGAACTGAACTAGAACTGAACTAGAACTGAACTAGAACTGAACTAGAACTGAACTAGAACTGAACTGAACTAGAACTGAAACTAGAACTGAACTAGAACTGAACTAGAACTGAACTAGAACTGAACTAGAACTGAACTAGAACTGAACTAGAACTGAACTAGAACTGAACTAGAACTGAACTAGAACTGAACTAGAACTGAACTAGAACTGAACTAGAACTGAACTAGAACTGAACTAGAACTGAAATAGAACTGAACTAGAACTGAACTAGAACTGAACTAGAACTGAACTAGAACTGAACTAGAACTGAACTAGAACTGAACTAGAACTGAACTAGAACTGAACTAGAACTGAACTAGAACTGAACTAGAACTGAACTAGAACTGAACTAGAACTGAACTAGAACTGAACTAGAACTGAACTAGAACTGAACTAGAACTGAACTAGAACTGAACTAGAACTGAACTAGAACTAGAACTGAACTAGAACTGAACTAGAACTGAACTAGAACTGAACTGAACAGAACTGAACTAGAACTGAACTAGAACTGAACTAGAACTGAACTAGAACTGAACTAGAACTGAACTAGAACTGAACTAGAACTGAACTAGAACGGAACTAGAACTGAACTAGAACTGAACTAGAACTGAACTAGAACTGAACTAGAACTGAACTAGAACTGAACTAGAACTGAACTAGAACTGAACTAGAACTGAACTAGAACTGAACTAGAACTGAACTAAAACTGAATTAGAACTAAACAGCCGAACTTCTATAGAGGCCGAGTTTGCACGAAAACTGGATCTTTGGTGTGAAATGATTCAAGTTTTACCATGTCTCTTGAATCTTATAAAATTTGATTATATACCTTCTACCCTCAAAGGCCAATAACTTATCACACAACCCACTGCAACAACTGCCGGCCGGCAAAATATTTTCTTTTAACATCTCCAAATTAATAAAACAAAACAAAAAAGAAGGAAAAAAAATACAAAATTAATGCACTTGTATGGAGGCTCAAGTTAAATCAAACCATACAGCTGGTTAAAATATGTGATATCTTGGCTGAACAAACCTCGTCGGTATTTTCTAAATGCTCGCACTCGCAAGTAAGAATTCGATGTAGACAAGAAAAAAGGAACGAAGAGAGCCATTGAATAAACGGACCTCTCGAAAAAAATACCTATGCAAGAAAGTGTACCTATGAGCATTCATAAATACAAGTACGAGTTGTGCGTATGTATGCATATTTTGGAGGGGTTTTTTCTATATTTCTTAATACAGGTTCTCATGCCTTCTTTTTCTTTGGGTTGCCTGACAAACAACAAAATCTTGAAGGCGGTTGGTTGTGTTAACCTTTTTTTTTTTTTTGTTTAAACTCTTTTCTTAGTTGTCTGTTTTTTTTTTGGGTTTTTATTTTTTGGACAAAGTCAATAGCTGAGTGTGTGTCTGAGTGTTAAATGGTGAGACGTTTAGTACAATGAGCGCGATCGTTGAATGCAACACAACCACTTGAGAGATACAAAAAAAGATAATTTTGTGTGTTTTTTCGTGTTGTTTTTAAACTGCAATGAAGTACGTAAAGTATTGTTGTCGTATACTGGTAGATATTTTTTTTTTGCTTTTTTGTCATCCACATGTTAAAATTGAACAGCAATACACACCTGAAAAGACTTGACAGAGCAGCACCTGTTTCTCATGGAAATGATCATCGGCTAGGTACGACTTCTTCTACTCCAGTACTAGTTCAGTTCTCGTTAGCTCTAGTTCAGCTATAGTTCACTGTTGTTCTGGTTCAGTTCTAGTTCAGCTCAAGTTCAGTTCTAGTTCAGTTCTAGTTCAGTTCTAGTTCAGTTCTAGTTCAGTTCTAGTTCAGTTTAGTTCAGTTCTAGTTTCAGTTCTAGTTCAGTTCTAGTTCAGTTCTAGTTCAGTTCTAGTTCAGTTCTAGTTCAGTTCTAGTTCAGTCTAGTTCAGTTCTAGTTCAGTTCTAGTTCATTCAGTTCTAGTTCAGTTCTAGTTCAGTTCTAGTTCAGTTCTAGTTCAGTTCTAGTTCAGTTCTAGTTCAGTTCTAGTTCAGTTCTAGTTCAGTTCTAGTTCAGTTCTAGTTCAGTTCTAGTTCAGTTCTAGTTCAGTTCTAGTTCAGTTCTAGTTCAGTTCTAGTTCAGTTCTAGTTCAGTTCTAGTTCAGTTCTAGTTCAGTTCTAGTTCAGTTCTAGTTCAGTTCTAGTTCAGTTCTAGTTCAGTTCTAGTTCAGTTCTAGTTCAGTTCTAGTTCAGTTCTAGTTCAGTTCTAGTTCAGTTCTAGTTCAGTTCTAGTTCAGTTCTAGTTCAGTTCTAGTTCAGTTCTAGTTCAGTTCTAGTTCAGTTCTAGTTCAGTTCTAGTTCAGTTCTAGTTCAGTTCTAGTTCAGTTCTAGTTCAGTTCTAGTTCAGTTCTAGTTCAGTTCTAGTTCAGTTCTAGTTCAGTTCTAGTTCAGTTCTAGTTCAGTTCTAGTTCAGTTCTAGTTCAGTTCTAGTTCAGTTCTAGTTCAGTTCTAGTTCAGTTCAGTTCTAGTTCAGTTCTAGTTCAGTTCTAGTTCAGTTCTAGTTCAGTTCAGTTCTAGTTCTAGTTCAGTTCTAGTTCTAGTTCAGTTCTAGTTCAGTTCTAGTTCAGTTCTAGTTCAGTTCTAGTTCAGTTCTAGTTCAGTTCTAGTTCAGTGCTAGTCAGTTCTAGTTCAGTTCTAGTTCAGTTCTAGTTCATTCTAGTTCAGTTCTAGTTCAGTTCTAGTTCAGTTCTAGTTCAGTTCTAGTTCAGTTCTAGTTCAGTTCTAGTTCAGTTCTAGTTCAGTTCTAGTTCAGTTCTAGTTCAGTTCTAGTTCAGTTCTAGTTCAGTTCTAGTTCAGTTCTAGTTCAGTTCTAGTTCAGTTCTAGTTCAGTTCTAGTGCAGTTCTAGTTCAGTTCTAGTTCAGTTCTAGTTCAGTTCTAGTTCAGTTCTAGTTCAGTTCTAGTTCAGTTCTAGTTCAGTTCTAGTTCAGTTCTAGTTCAGTTTTAGTTACAGATCATTCATTACTACGTCCTATTGACTACAATGGACCCAAAGCTGATGACATAACGAACCTATGGGTAACAGTGTAACTAGTGTTTAGTTTATCGCACAGATGGAAATTATTGTTGGATTATTATGGCAAACGATTGTTTTTTCGTTCTCTTTTTTTTTTCTCCCGATCGCAGTAAGTTCGTAGAGATTCCCTGCTTCTCAAGATAATTGAAAGGTTTAACGAATGTATTTGTATATATATATGAATATTTTTTGAAAAATTCTACCTTTTTCTTTACTTCTTGAGAGCTGAGACAACTTTGGCTGGTCAACTTTGCCTCTTCAATGTATTAGTTCGATTTAGTTTTCGTTTATTTTCTTCTTTTGTTATTCGTTCTTTTTTTTTGGTTTTGTTTTTATGGTCTTCAGTCTAAGATAAGATATGCCAGACACGGTAGACATAGTGGCGACATGCTTTAGACTGAATGTCTTCTATGGTTGCTGCTTCTACCACAACCGTGCCAGCCCCTTCTGCCTTTGTGTTGCATGGGGTCTATCTCTGAAGTAAGCAAGCAACCTTTTTTTACATTTTTCAAAAGCAACTCCCCGCAGTTCGGGGTATTAGTACCAAATATAGTGCTTTTACTTTTGATTAAATAAATGACGAATTATTTCAAATCCTATTTTATATCAGTAATTTCGATTTAGATGTTGGCCTGTCGCTTTTCTAACTTTGTCGTAGAGTTTATAGTCTCTACTATAGGTCTCGACTAGTCTCTATACAGTAGCTTAGCCTATTATTTACAATCTCGACTATAGTTTAGTCTTAAGTCTCGACTCTAATTTAGTCTATAGTCTGGTGTATAGTTTAGTTTGAATTACAGATTTCCTGTGGTCAGTAGCCATGACTAGTCTATAGCTTAGTATAATTTTCGACTACAGTTTAGTATATAGACTCTACTATAGATTAATTCATAGTCTCAACTACAGCTTACTTTTTTTTCTGGACTATAGTTTGGCCTGTAATCCCGACTATTGTTTTAGTTTATAGTTTTTACTGGTCTATATCTTCGACTATAGTTTAGTACATAGTCTCGACTTTAATCCTGTCTAATGTCTGGACTATAGTTTAGTCTATAATCTTGATTATAGTTTGATATATAGTATAGACTATAGGGAAAGGGTTACATTAACTCCTTGTTGAACTATTGGGTTTATTAAGATTTCGGTTTGCTTCGGCCAGGCAAGACAAAGCAAATCTAGAAGAAGGTTTAGTGTATGGTATAATGACAGACAAACAGACGGACAGACAAATGTTTGGACGGACATATAGACAGACAGACTTGGAGACGACTTGTATAGTTTCTGTTATAGCTAGTGCGTTGTGGTCGTCATCGTTGTCGATATTGTTGTTGTTGTTATTATGTGGTAGTCAGTTGTTGTCTGCATCTAACAGATAAACCAAGCAACAGGCAACGTTCGTATGTTCGTTGTATTTTAGCCAAGGTTGGGTCTTTGAATTTATTTTAACTCAGTTGCGTTTGATTCGTTGTTAAGTTCACAGCATTTGCGCGTCGTTTTTAATACAAAAAAAAAACTAAAAAATATAAAAAAATTATAAAAAATAGTGACAAAAAGCTTTTCTATGTGCAGTTTTTTTTGGTTTTAGCTTATTTTATATAAAATGTGGGTATAAAATATTACACATTTCTTTTATGGCCAAAAAATTGTATAAAAAGTGCACAAAAAATACATTAATTTAAAACTGCATTAAAATAAAGTGACATTTTGTAATAAATTTTCGAAAATAAAATTAAATTTTTAAAGTGTTTATTGTTTTATTGTTTCTATCGTTTTAGATTTCTAACTTAAACAACAAATAATTTTATAAGAAAAAAAAAAAAATCCCCCGGAATATAACTTCATGGCTTTTCTTGGTAAAAACATTAAATTTCAATTAAACTATATGGAAAACCCCAAAACAATAAGTTAAATTGAGACAAGTGTAAAAAGTTTTGCTATAATTTTTGTTAAAAAATAATCTAGCAAACTTGGTTAAATCCTTCAATAGAGAAAAAGAAGTTTGGTGCTGCTGTTCCTTTTTGTTTAAAACCACAAACTAAATATTTATTATAAAATTTTTCTTGTTGTTGTTTTTGCCACATTACACGACATTATGATCCTAAGAAGTGTTTTTGTTTTTGCAATATGTCTACATGTTGGATTAACAGCGAATTTGCAACGTCAAGAGTTATCGGTAAGTACGTACCTTATATATATACATATATGAATATGTCTATGTTTGTATGTAATTTAAATATACCCGGTAGACTTACAAGGAGTCAATGTATCCCTTTTAGAAAGTTTATTTCATAATCTCTACTATAATTTAAGCTAATGTCTGGTCTATTGCATTGACTTCAATTTAGTTTAGTCTATAGAAAAGCCTATACACTAGGTTATAGATCAGACTGTAAAGTAGACTATAGTCTAAACTGTAGACTAGACTATTGTCCAGACTATAGACTAGACTATAGACTAGACTATAGTCCAGACTATAGACTAGACTATAGTCCAGACTATAAACTAGACTATAGTCTAAACTGCAGACTAGACTATTGTCCAGACTATAAACTAGACTATAGTCCAGAGTATAGGCTAGACTATAGTCCACACAATAGAACATGCTATATACCAGACTATCAGTCTAACTATAGACTAGGCTATAGTCCAGAGTATAGACTAGACTATAGTACAGACAATAAACTATACTATAGTCCAGACTATAGACTAGGCTATACAACAGACCACAGACTAGACTATCAGCCTGACTATAGACTAAACTATAGTCCAGACTATAGACTAGACAATAGTCCAGACTATAGACTAGATTATAGTCCAGACTAAAGACTAAACTGTAGTCCAGACTATAGACTAGACTATAGTCCAGACTATAGACTATCAGCCTGACTATAGACTAGACTATCAGCCTGACTATAGACTAGACTATAGTCCAGATTATAGACTAGACTATAGTCCAGATTATAGATTAGACTATAGTCCAGACTAGACTATAGTTCAGACTATAGACTAGACTATAGTCCAGAATATATTCAGACTATAGTCCAGAATATATTCAGACTATAGACTTGACTATAGTCGAGACTATAGACTAGGCTATATACCAGACTATCAGTCTGACTATAGACTAGACTATAGTCCAGAGTATAGACTAGACTATAGTTCAGACAATAAACTAGACTATAGTCCAGACTATAGACTAGACTATAGTCCAGGCTATAGACTAGTCTATTGTTCAGACTATAGACTAGACTATAGTTTAGACTAGACTATAGTTCAGACTATAGACTAGACTATAGTCCAGAATATATTCAGACTATAGACTTTACTATAGTCAAGACTATAGACTAGGCTATATACCAGACTATCAGTCTGACTATAGACTAGACTATAGTCCAGAGTATAGACTAGACTATAGTTCAGACAATAAACTAGACTATAGTCCAGACTATAGACTAGACTATAGTCCAGACTATAGACTAGACTATAGTCCAGACTATAGACTACAGACTAGACTATCAGCCTGACTATAGACTAGACTATAGTCCAGACTATAGACTAGACAATAGTTCAGACTATAGACTAGACTATAGTCCAGACTATAAACTAGACTATAATCCAAACTATAGACTAGACTATAGTCCAGACAATAGACTAGACTATAGTCCAGACTATAGACTAGACTATAGGCCAGACTATAGACTAGACAATAGTCCAGACTATAGATTAGACTATAGTCAAGACTATAGATTAGACTATAGTCCAGACTACAGATTAGACTATAGTCCAGACTATAGACTAGACTATAGTCCAGACTATAGACAAGACTATCAGCCTGCCTATAGACTAGACTATTAGCCTGACTAAAGACTAGACTATAGTCCAGACTATAGACTAGACTATAGTCCAGACTATAGACTAGACTATAGTTCAGACTATGGACTAGACTATAGTTCAGACTATAGGCTAGACTATAGCCCAGACTATATTCCAGACTATAGACTTGACTATAGTCCAGATTATAGACTAGGCTATATACCAGACTATCAGTCAGACTATAGTCCAGACTATAGTCAAGACTATAGACTAGACTATAGTTTCTATAGTCTATTGTTTAGTCCACAATATTTTAGAATATAACCTCGTTTATAGTCTATAGTTTAGACTCTAGTTTAAAACGTTTTCTAGACTATAGGTTTGTTCTAAAATAAATGTAGCTAATAGGTTCTTATTGCACCCCGAACTGCAAAGATACTGACTACATTTTAAATATATTTATTTCTATACAATATAATAATTCACACATGTATGTATCCAGACACTCAAACACAGATACAGATACTATGACTTCAATTTTAGTCTTGGCCATTAACATGTGTATCGAAAGAAGCCAGTAAGTTCAGAGCCATATCCAGTGCCAAAAGAAGTACAAATATTAGGGAGATCACCAATAGGTAAGGTCTTTAATATCACCATGACCAAAAATTAACTTTTTACCTCCGGCTCATTACATTGCCTCGTAAAAGTGACAGCCAATCATTAAAAAAAAGTTTGATCTATAAATGGCCGCGGACTATTTTTGACTCAGATATACATATGTACATATTTCGGACTATGCAGGATAACAAATCAAGAGAATAAAGTTGTTATATACTTTTTATACTCTAAGAAATGACGTCTACAGCTGGTGGCTCGTCTTAGATACCACCGAATTTCGGTTATACCCCTAATGTAAACATAAGCTCGACTACAAAAAAAAATATGCACTCATACAAAAACGTACATGCATACTTAATAATAAAATATTGTATGATTTATCCATTGACAAGTTTTCCAAACAGAATAAATAATGAATTATTACAAGTTCTGTGGAAAAAAATCAAATTTGAATTTAAATTTAGTGTACAGCGACATAATCTGGTCAAATGTTGAATGTAGGAAGGTCTGAATATTTCATATTTAAATTAAATCTAAAAACTCCAGCAGTCATAATTATAAAAGCAACAAGAACTTGGGATAATATTACTAATAATGCAAATAAGAGTTAACACATAAATGGCTTTCTTTAGAAGTTACTTTATGGTCCAGAAGTTTCGAACATTTAGAGAATTTAAGTGTAGAGCAGTAAAAGCGACTTTGAGGGTATCGGTTACTTAAAATTTTGACCTACACCAGCGATTTTAGATAATAATGAAAGCAAACATTTAGTGGTATCAAATTTTTCCTAATTGGGCATATCAATTATAAAAATCTGAGAAAAAGCTCTAAGAAAGAAATAAAGCAAGTTTATTTTTAAAATTTCGATTTTGTTCCAAGAATCAGCGATTAAAGGTTAACAAAGACTTACAGTGTAATAATTCCACTTAACTTGTTTTACTCTTAATCAGTGATGCCAAGTGTAGGGATTTTTCCCTTTTTGTAGGGATTTTTTTCAAAAATTTCACGTGTAGGGAAAAAGGGAAAGATTTCTTACTATTGTCAAATTGTAGGGATTTTTCAATTTCATAGTTTTTAACAACTAAAAATATACTCTTTCATGTATTAAACTTTTAAATTAAAAATGAAATCAGTTTTAAGTGTATCGTTAGTAAAAATTCCGCTTGTAATTTCTACAATATATGTACCTACATATCGCTACAAGACTGGCATAATCCAAAATTCGGCTTTCTTGAACTAAGGTCTTCAAAACATGCGACATACTAAAATCTTTCATATAGATTTATCAAATTTCAAATATGTCTATTATTTTCGATGTGAAATCGATTTTTTGTAAACGTAAAAACTAAAACCCACGTTTTTGTGAATATTAGACAACTAAAAATTTAATTTCAATTTAGATGAGAAACATATTAACCTCAACTATCTGAATCTGGATTTTTAAAACCCCTTGATTTGTTTAAAAGTTATTAAAAAATAGTTAAATGTCATTAAATATTCATATCCATTTTTCTTGAAACGACTTTTTGGATTATGCCAATCCTGTAGGGCGATATATTCTGACTCCTTATAGATAGAGTCGGGGGCTTAATGCAGTAACTCAGGATTGAAAAAATGAATTTAATGTTCTGAAAATTTATAAAAGTAAACCGCAAAAAGTAAACGCAAAAGTAAAATTTATTTAAAATAATTATTTTATGAAAATTTTTTTGTTGGAGGCACATAAAATAAATTTTTATCACGATTCGATATACTGCCATAAATTTTTCAATTGTTTTTTTTTTTTTTTAATCTTAACTGAAGAGTCAGGGTTGGAAGATTTGTATGATGTAAAATTGAAAGAAAAAAAAATTAAAATTTAAATTCTAGAAATTTCGTTCCTAAAAATTAAAAAAAAAAATACATACATATACATATATATATTATAAAACGGAGCTAATATTTTAGTTTTTGATGTTATTTTTGGAAAAAGTAGTGTAGGGAAAAATGTAGGGAAAATAAAAAGTGGGTGTAGGGAAAAAAGGTATTTTTTCTCATAAGCGTAGGGATTTCTGAAAAAAATCTCCTGGCATCACTGCTCTTAATGCTAAATGGAAAAGCCCCATAGAAAATTTCCCTGTTGCTATGAACTTTTAATGAAAAAAAAAACGTTGAAAGCTAATTAAAAAGACTTGTTAACTTAAAAAGATCTCTTAGATTGTAAATAGCAAAATATTTAACTTTAAAATACACTATATGTAGTTACTAATTGGAAAAGACATGGATATATACATTATTTATAATTAATATTAATATATTAGAAAATAACTATTGTCACTGGATTGTAAAATAATGATAGTAAGAATTGCTGTAATGTAAAGAATAAGAATTTCTTAAGAACTAAGATTAAGATCAATTAGTCTAGTCTAGTCCAGACTGTAGACTATAATCCAGACTATAGACTAGACCAAACTTTGGACTAGACTATAGTCCACACTAGACTATAATCCAGATTAGAGTACAGTCCCCATTAGACTAAAGTCCAGATTAGACTATAATCTAGACTATAGCCTAGACCATAGTCCACACTATATACTAGACCATAGTCCAGACTATAGACTATACTATAGTCCAGACTATAGACTATACTATAGTTCAGACTATAGTCTATAGTTTTACAAGTAGGCTTTACGCCAGACGATTAACTACACTATAGTCCAGTTTATAGACTAGAATATGGTCCAGACTATGGAATAGATT